GAGATAGAGATTGGCAGCCTTATGGCTGTATGATGCATCATTATACTCAAACGTAAGTGTAAATGAAGTAACTATTCAATATTAAACACTTCAGACAAATTCTTCTATATGCAATATATTATATACTCATATAATTTTAAATTTGTTCATTAGATTCTTGTAATAATGATTGTGTAATAATTTAGTTGTAATTAGATGTGTCAATTAGCAGTCATTGAATTTATAAAATTTATCAAGTACATATTTTAGATGCATTTTTATTTAATTGCAGGGACACACGCCATTGTTTTCGTTATCTAGCATTTTGGGGAATGCATAATCATTTTGTATTTATTGGAGATTCTCGAATACATCAGTATTATGTTGCATTTGTAGATCATGTAAAATTATCACCTAAAAGTAGCCCATCATCGAAAGATTCATTCTTGAATGGTAAATATATGAAATAATAGTATTTTTTTTTTTTTATATATTGTATTTATTTGTTATTGGTTTAAATTTAAACAGATACAAATTTGTCTTATATGGACACAAAGCTTCGTCTCAAGGTAGATTATATTCATACCCCATATGTATCTACAAAAATGATAGATCAGTTTAATAAATGGAAGAAAGATGAAGATCCTCCTACAGTAATAGTAACAGGCACAGCTTACCCAACTATTTTACTTATAATGGAAGCACACAAGCTCCTAAAGATTATGCTATGAATCTCACACGATTAGTGCAATCTATTGATAAATTACATGAGAAAAAGACTGCTGTTTTATGGATTCCACAGAGTGCTGTTGATAGTAATAAGTTATTAAAAAATATAAAGCAATTACCAATGAACAAATAGATTTATATAATAGTGCTGCATTAGATATTTTAAGTCATTCATCAGCTGCAATATGGTCATCTGCTTCTTTGTTGACTTCAAATTTAATAGATTCAAGTTTGGATGGTCTGCATGCTCCATCGCTAGCTTTGCGGCATATAACTCAGATATTATTAATATGTATTGCAATGATCATATGAATTATAATGATGGAACATGCTGCAGCAGCCCAGAAGCAATATACTATTATTCAAGCAATAACCTTTGCTATTTTAGGGATTTGGTATGTACATTAATATTAATGTATAAGCTTAAGTTATATATATGTAATATAAGTATATATTTTTTCCAGTGTCATTCTGTGTTCTGCTTTGACTCTTAGAAGATTGTACCGGCATTACAGTGGTTCTAAGCCTGATTACATTTTACTTTCCTCTAATGGAGATTCAACAGTTTCAAGCAACTCTTACAAAGAACCAATTCTTGCACTTGCAAGTCTATCTCTCATCATGATCTATTTCTACATATGTGACAGAACAAATTTCTTTATGAAAGAAAATAAATACTACAGTGAATTCAGTTTCTGGATACCAGTGGGATATATGTTTACATTAGGAATATTTTTCACCGAAAACAGTAAGTTTACTAAAGTTTTACACAGTGATCAAACATCTGAACTAAAGGGTTGGATGCAATTAGTAATTTTAATTTATCATATGACTGGTGCAAGTAAAGTTTTACCTATTTACATGCATATCAAAGTTTTAATTAGTGGTTATTTATTTATTTCGGGCTATGAACACTTTTGCTATATTTGGCAAACAGGCAACGCTGGTCTTGTTCGTATGTTTCAAGTACTGTTTAAGATCAATTTTATGACTGTTGTTCTATGTTTATGTATGAATAGGCCATATCAGTTTTATTATTATGTTCCTTTAGTTTCATTCTGTTTTTCTTGGTATATTTGTATAGTTAGCAGCATACCACCAAATATCAAATCATTCGACAGAAACTCATCCTTATCAATATTTAAATTTAGTTTTAAAACTAATTGCTTTGTTTAGTATTATTACGATTTTATATATGTCTGAAGTTTTCTTTGAGAAAATATTTGTTACTCGACCTTGGAAAGCATTGTTTGTAACTACTGATGATGATATTAGAGAATGGTGGTATAGATGGAAACTAGATAGGTATTCAATGGCATATGGTGTTGTATTTGCTGCAGTATTCCTTATTGCACAAAAATTCAATTTAATTAATGATAATAACCACGGCAATTTATTTTCAAGAGGAATAGCATTAAGTGCTATTTTAATAGCTTTCATATTTATTGGAATTTATACTACATTTACTTTTCTTTGCCATAATAAAGAAGAATGTGAAGAGGTACATAGTTACATAGTTTTCTTACCGATAATAGGCTACATAATTTTAAGAAATATATCAGGTTTCCTCAGAACTCGGTATTCAAGCTTATTTGCTTGGTTTGGCAATATCTCAACAGAGTTGTTTGTGTGCCAATATCATATTTGGTTAGCAGCAGATACACACGGTGTGTTAGTATTAATTCCAAGTTATCCTATGTTGAATGTTATTGTAACATCTTTTATTTTTATTTGCGTTTCTTATGAAGTACACAGAATTACAACTATATTACAACCATATGCAGTGCCAACTGATTGGAAATTAGTTGTGCGTAATGTAATTTTATTTTTGGCTGTGTTAGTTCCTATAGGAATCCATGATGGTATGTTTTAATATTTACATCGAACAGCATGAAATGCAAATTATGCTGTTAAATACTGTTTGTTATAAGAGATATGAATAAATTTTCACATTCTCTCAATTTGGAAAAGAGAATTTTGTAATGAAAGCATATTTTTGTAACAATAATTTATTTATCACAATTAAATTTTTGTATTTAATATATATATATATATATATATATATATATATATATATATATATATATATTATTTATAAATATGTGTATATATGTATGAGTACACAGCACTCAATTTAATTTCTCGTTAATTGTAATTGATTCTTGTACATTGAAAAAGTTAAAATTCCAAGTAAAGATGTTGACAAAATAATTTTCTGCCTAAATTTTTATTAAGATATGAGATTTAAGAACAATTGAAAATTTACTATATATACATATTACAAAAATTCAAATAATTGTTATTCTTTGTCAAATACGTTGTTCTTTTTCATGATTACGATCATTGTCAGCTGGGTCATGTTTCACATGTGATGTGTATATATCATATCCCAAGGATATCGTATTATCATATAACACTCTAAACCTATGAGGTAATATATAAAAGTTTATGATTTGGGCTGGCGGCCAAACTACCCATTCAGCAGCGTAAAGCCTCCAAGCCTTTTTCTTAATTTCCTCTATTAATTCATCTTTACTAGTTTTTTCTAGTATAGCTAATGTAATAAAGAACATAGAAATGCATATTGGTGAGCATACAATTTGATCTATCACAACTTTTTTCATGACTATTCCTATTGTGCGTCCTGGCAATCGTTTATCTAGATATTTGTACCAATTATGACATATTATACCCACAGTCATTCCAGAAATTGACATGTGGTGTGTTCTTAGTTGATCATACTTCTTTAGTTCCCCTTTTAATATTTCATAATGTTGTTCAATCACATCGCCCACTGCTGATAAAGAGATTGATATTCCCACATTAGTGTATAAAAGATATTATTACTGAATGCAGTTGGAAAATGTTTTAAGTCTATTAAGTAGAATCTTTAATAGTTTTGTAGCTGTGATACTAGCTGGGTGCATAATATGGATTATGGCCTGGTGATTAAAATCTGTAAATAAACATTTGTGTAAACTATATTTGCGTTTAGCATATTTTATATAATTGCAGGTCTTATTACCCTTTATTTTTCTGTGAGGTATATATGTAATACTTGGACGACAAATAAGTCAATGCCAGAAGCCGAAAGACTTCAGAAATGTACATAACCTCACATTTTGACGTAAGCCTCACGAGGAGGCCATCATTAATGCTCGTGAAGTTCGCCACAAAGAACGGCATAAAATTTGTAAAATTTGAGCCTAAAATTAAATATATTTCGGTATAATTGACTAATTTCTTTATTAATTTTAAGCATATTCAATAAAATAATATATAAGTCAATCAAAATTAATATATAAAAAATTAGTATTCTTTTATTCAATATTCGAACCCATTTTTATTATTTTTCCCGTTGGTACGTGTAGATGACAGTGTAATACGTTTAACTAGACTGACACGACCGAGCCCTGAAATCATTTTACTCTTTCACTCAGTAATGTCGAAAACAAGCGTCGTGATACTACTGTTAAATGTTGGCGGAATAATTAAATTTTGTCTTAATAAATAAAAATAGTGGACAGTGCATATTACTATAAAAAATATTAGATGCAGAAAATTTTGCTTTCAACCAATTCAAAAACCAACATAGTTTGTTTATAAATGTTTTTAATAAATGCTACTGTCAAATGTGTATTTTGAAGTGAATTGACACTCTTGTGCAGAAGTGAAATATTAAAAAGATGTTATCAATGTATGAAAGAAGAACTTTTTGCATTAGTTATAAACAAAATGTTGGTAAATTGTAAAAACCGGAAACATTATGCATGGGTGTAGCCTTCGCGGTACATAAAAGTTCGATTCAATAATAACACGATTCATGTGCGAAATTATTAATTTTTAGTGTGTTAATTTATTTTATATTATGTGAAGAGCTTATGAAATTTAATAGTGCATTTATAACAGTACTTCCAATTGATGAGTATATATATTTTATTACAAAGTCGTAAACAGTTTATTATTATTATAGCTGCATTTTAATATTTTGGTTTAAACCTAAGTGATTAAAATAATAATATAAATTTAAAAAAAAAATGATATTCAATTTATATATTCGAAGTACATTGCAACAAATATTGAAATGATATAACTATTTTGTTAAGATTTAAATATTGTGTATAAGGACTAAAGACAAATGTGTTTGGAAAATCTATATGATTTTTTAATAAAGTAATTTATACAAACTGTTACAAGTGATTGTGCAATAAAACAAGTGTAATTTTTAAGTATTCTCAAAAGGATATAGATAACAATAATGTGACTCTGATCTTGACGATTCTGATTTACCACCATAGCAAAAAATGCTATAGTAAATAATTAATCAAAGCAATTTGCTTTTACCCCAGCAAATAAAAATTGATCATATCACCAAGATATGCTGGTTTCCCTCACATGATAGTATGTTCACCAAGAAGTGTTGCCCAAAAATCGACCGCGTTATTGTTTACAATTGCATTTGCTTGCTGTTACCTTCGTGATGGCCACAATCGGTTCGGATGGAATTGGCAGTAGCCGATGTGGTATTTTAGAGACTCGGGTGCGAGGTTGTTGGTATAGAGTGGCAGTAGTGTTGGAGGCAGATTATTGAGTGTCACCCTTGATGAATCTTGTGAGACTTCGACGGCACTAAATGGTGGTGCATCGTTGCTCAACAATAACAACAACCTGCCGGAGACGCCGTGCCGGGACGCCGATGTTCCGGACGCTGTTGCAAACCAGAAGCGACAGGTTGGTAGAGGTTTTGACGGTTTCTTGTTTATATTTATTTTTAACAGCAAATTCGGATCTGCTTAAACTACTAGGTCGACAATTCGTTCTTTTTTAGATGGTTCAATTAAGTTTTCAAGTTTGCTGGCGTAGTCGAAATTTAAATACCTTTTTGTTATTGGGTAGTTGGCAATGCAGTTGTTAATCAGTAAAAAAAGATTTTTTTTAATCGATTTTTGATCGTAGTTTTTGGTGTTCATTGAAAGGTGTAAAATCACATCGAAAATTGTTGTCATATTTTGCTTTTTCATTTCTGCAAAATTAAGAAGCTCTTGCAGGCTTACACAGCAAAATTCTGTGTGCTCACACTTCTGCAAAATTGGTTTGCCAAATTTCATTCTGGTGATTTTTACCCGAATATGAAGAACTCCCTGGTCGTGCAGATGAAGTTGATTTTAAAGAAATTGCTTTCTTCTACTTTAATCACCCAACCGAATGATCAATTCTGATGACTACATTGAATAAATAACGAAATTAAGTAACCCAGTTGAATAGTCCAAATCCTGAACAGTCATTTATTTAAATTGTAATCACATATCTTTGGCACTCGGCAAAAAATATTGGAGTTTTGTTGGATTGTTTTGCCACATCCACAATAAAGTCGTGACCTTACGCCTTCTGTTTACTTTTTATTTAAATTTTGACAAAGTTCTTGAAAGATAAACAATTATGAGATTATCATGGTGTCAAATTGTTTCTGGTTCAGTTTTTTGCTGTTAAAAATCAGAAGATTTATAATAGAAAATTAGGAGATAAAGCAAAGCCGTTACCTAGAAATCGAATGTTGGAAAAGGTTGATATTGGAAAAGTAGGACAATGATGCTGATTGAAAGATGACAAAGTGTCATTGGTCAAAATGGATAATGCATTACAGAATAAAGTTATTTGTTTCATGAAAAAGTTGATTTTCCTACAAAAATCCGCACTTACTTTGTTGCCTTTGTTACCTGATATTAAGGGGCACAACTAGTGTGAAATTTTGAAAAAATCGATTTTTGTTTTTTTTCATATTTCGGTAGATTACACCATTAAAAATAACATTAAAATTTCAAATCGATATCTCAAATAGTTTTTGAGTTACAGCCATTTAAAAAGTATACAACGATCATTTTATCTTTAAACGCGGTTTTCTCGAAACAGCATTTTCCGACTTTGCTGCAGTGATTACTCAAAAACTAATGATCCGATTACTATCAAATTTTTTTACATGTTCTATATATAGTTCTCCGTAAATTGAACTATCGATTTTTGATCGGATCAAAAATAGAATTTTGGCGGTCGAAAAACGACCAAAATTTTGGGTAAAATTCGACTTTTTTTTAAAAAAAAAACGCCGTCATTTTCTCAATTTTTGATTATTTTTTTCATCGTAGTTCATTTTACAGACAATATTATCTAGTTTAACGAGAATTTTTTTTTTTGATTTCATCCACGTCAAGGGCCGGAATCACTGCAGCAGTTAAGGGTCTTTTTTTGTTGCGCCGTTGGAGATCTACGATAACTTGAAAAATATTTAATTATTTCTTCAACAATTTTACTATGTTTTCTTAAAACATGTATAAATATATTCCTAAAATTTTGAAATGATTGATAAAGTAGTTTTTGTAATATAAATTCCCAAAAATCACCTTTTTTTAGGCGGTTACACTAGTTGTGCCCCTTAAGGTTTATTAAACTTCTCGAAAAAGTTTTCTTTGTTTTTTTGGCAGATTCAGAGAGACCCAATTTGCTAATTATGTTTTCGACGTTTAATTCATTCTGATTCCTAAGAGACTAAACTTGGAAGTATGAGGTTGTATGTGTATGTGAGCCAAAATTTGACCTTTCTAAGACTTTTTCTCAAAAAACGTTTGCACCGATTTCAGAAAGTTATACATAGATTAGGAAATGGTTTAATGCCACATGATATAACTCGATAAAGAATCGCGTTGATTAGCTTTGCAAGACGATCAGATACACCGTTTCTTTAGAATTAGCAGAAAATGGGAAATTATTCGTCCAAGTTTTTGCAAAACGTTCTGAACCAATTTTGATATCTGAAGAACTTCGGGAATCGTTTCTTGTAATTAATTGTTGAACTTTTTTTTGACGATTATTATCAAACTTTTTATGATTATGAGGTTCATCACAAGGCATTAACGAACATTTTAAAATATTAAGGGATTCTTACAAACGACGGTTTAATCATAAAATATAAAAAAAAATCGAATAATTGTAAGCGTAAAAATTTCTAAGGTATAAGGCAGCGGTCAAGGAACTTTTTTAATCATTACCCCAAAATATTTTTGTCGAAGTTGATATTACCCTCATGGCAAAGAGAGGTTTACCCCCATTGGAACAACTACGTAGCACTCGTATCAATTAACAATACATACTTTTTACCCCCAAAAAGTCCATTTTTACCCCAGTTGGAGTAATTTACTCCGGTTTTTTGTCCACCGGTGTAAGGTCACATTTTTAATAGTTGTTAATCTCAATTTTTATTGCTTTGATCGATTATATTATTTACATATGTCGAAAAGTTTATACCTTTTGGTATAAAATTTGTTTTGTATTGGCTGCGGGGTTTCCAATCTGCGGGGTGCAAGCCTATTCCAAGGAGGGCGTACTGCTTTTTCTAGAATTAATCAAAAATGTTGATTTGACTTAAAACAAAAGGTAAATAAACCATTATTTTTATTTTATTTTCACTTAATATTGTTTATTAATTTTTAATCATTTTTAAGACATGTGTAATATTAATAATTGGGTTTTGAAACAATTTGCTTACTTATTTTGGGGATTTTATGCGATTTATTCCTCGGATTGGCGCCCCCTAACGTGTGCGCCCGCATTTTTTGCGTACATTGCATTCATTGGCCATGTATGTATTCTATTAAAATTTTTACTAGATTATAAACATTTTTATTGGAGTTTTTGTGTATATGGACATGGACTATGTGTATTATTTTGCAACATACTACACGAATACTGAAAAATGCAATTTCTTTCTGAATTGTCTCACATACATTCAATGTTTTTACCGCTGTTTTTTTTATTATATGTCAAATCCAATTAAGCAACTACTAACGTGATAAAAATGAATGTTGTTTTTTATGACAAAAACTTCAATTTAATAGTCTCTTTTTGCTCGGCTGTATTTGTTAACGAAACTTATCAAACATGATAAAATGTATTACTCACTAATCAATTGATTTTATAATTCAATTGCGGCAATTAAATCAGTCAAAAGTTATTGCCAATTCAGATGCCAAAACAAATATGTTTTATCATTAAAAACTATTTATTTAACTATTCACTTTTAATGTGTGAAATTCTGCATTTTGATTGAAAATCAATTGTCAAAGATGAGAGAAATAGATATTTCGGTTTAATCGCGCCTAATTGATCATCATTGATACATTGTTTACGCTAAATAACGCGAACCTATACAGAGGGTGATTCAATTTGTATATTAATGTAGCAATTAGAATTATTTGCTTGTGATTGAAACTTTATATGTTAATACAGTATATGACGTGATATGAATATAGAAACTATATTAATAGTATACATTCAATAGATACTGAATATCGTGGTAGTACGCTTTACATAGCCTGCAAATACAATAGCCTAATTTGGTGAAGTAATGTTATATTATTATAGCAACCAAGATATAGTAATATCTTATAATAATATTAATTATTGTAAGCTGATCTATCTAACCTAAAAATGATAATGTTATATTAGAAAAAAAATTATTTCATGGAGAGAAGTTCAAGGTTACACTAGATACAATTAAGTTTATGGACCAATTCTGCCGCATAGTTGGAGCGTAACATGGCCTTTCCATAACATTGGTATGTTATGCGGCAGAATTAGACCATTAATGTTGGTTTATTTCTACTTATTATAGTGATGGGAGTTTATAAAGTCCTTAACTAATGTTTAATATATGATTTATAAATCATCAACAATGTTTGTAATTAATAGCATTTTATTCGTTTTTCAAGTAACAGAAAAATTATAAAGCATATAACAAAGTTCAGTCTTCAAGCATTAATCAAGAAAGTATTAAAGTTCAGTCCATTAAAAAGTTTAATTGTAAAAGTATAGCAAATCTGCTTTTTATTATATCAACTTTTATCGTAAAAATGAAGAATATAAAGGTATTCGGTTTCTTCTACATTGTTTCATATATATTTTAAATCTGGACCTTGATAACCTAATCTTGAACCTGGGTATAAGTGGCATTTTGCCCTAAGCCAAGCCGCCAACTATTTATTTTGAAGATGAAGATTTTGCTTTCATTAAAATCTCTTCAATGCGATTTCTAACCAATGAATCAATTCAATGAATTTTCATAATTCAACCAACTTATTGTAGGCCGGTAATATTTTAGGGTTTTAGTTATTTGTTTTCAACATGAACATTTTGTATCAATAGGTCTTTGGATTTGGACACCCAACTGATTAACATATTCTTCATCAATTTTGAATTGACTATATATACCAACAATTTATATATACAAATAAGTTAAAAAATGTCATTTGGCGGTCAAATATGTTTATTGTTTATATGTACATCAAATTATCAGATATTTTATAGAGATTTTAATAATGTGCACACATTTTGTGTAAATTTTTTTTGGTTCCGTACCGAGATTTTTAATTACGGTACGGGATGTCCTAGCAATTTGCCTTAAGTCACGATTCCATGCATCCCACGTCTTGCGTAAAACACCAATCATCTGCATTCTTCTTCTAATCATGCAGGAGGCAAAATGGGTCCTATCCAGTTTCCTTTTCTTTTAATGATTATGCCAAGCAGAGATTCTTTTTTCGACGACTTTTTCTCGGGACTTTCTCATTTGTTATCTGATCTGTCCAAATTATCTTCTTCATTTAGTTAACATCTTCGTTATCTTCATCTCCAGCATCACATTTCAAAACTATCAGATAGTTTTTGTCGGTCTTTTTTTAAGCCATGTCTCTGATCCGCATAGAGTTATGCTCCAGGTCTAAATATTACTTAATAGTGCAGTAAACGGAGAGGAAAAAAGGGTATAACCTCTGAATTTTTTTACTGTGCTCCGAATTCAATGAAATTTTGGAATTAGGTTCATCTTACCCTCAAGTTCAAAAGTGAAAACAATTCGGGTTGCGCCATCACCCCCCGGGGAAATGACGCCCCTTCTGAATTGTTTAATTACATTTTTTCAAAATAACGTCGGAAATCGATAGAAGAACTATTTATAAGAAAAAAATGTCTTTTATAGTTTTTTAAGAAAACTAATACTTTTCAAGTTACTGGCCACTAAAGATTCATATATTTTTGGCGTTTCTTCTTCGTTTTTTTGCAAATATCTCCTAAAATATACATTTTAACGAAAATCATGTAAGGAATAAAATAATGTCAATAAAAATATTAATAAATCGGTATTACATAAAGTGTTCTAGGTAAAATATTAAGCAAGATTTGAAAGAGCAAAGTCGTTTTTTATTTCGTTCAAGATATAATTGTTGTATTTAAAGCCATCTAGTGTCGAGGTTTTGCATTTTATCCATTTCGGTGAAATTGGGTTTTATAGTGCTCAACATAAGCTTTAATAACAGTGATGACAGATACAAGATTATATGGAGCTCTTTATATTTACATCAAATGTAATAATATAAAATTATAAATGCAATATACATAAAACAATGATATATATGTAAGAGATAGTGTAGATATTATGTAATTTAGTATATGGCTAATGTACCAGTTTATAAAGCCAATAAAATAATAAAAAAAAAACATAAGCTTTAAAATGAGTGCTGTTCCAAGTTTTTTGCGTGTAAAATGAATGAGCTATCATGCAAATAAGAAGCATATACGATGTTTTATTCTTTTAAATTTTTTGGTGTAATGAGCGCCATTTCCACCAGAATTAAAGTAATTCACATTCCATCTAGAATTCACTTCATTATAGACATCTTGATGGATTCTAGCAGATTCACTACTTTAGTACAAACTATTTTCAGAAAACTCACGATTTTATAAAAACTTTTTTTCCATTTTTTTTTTAAAAATCGAAATTATTTTCATTATATCTCAAAAAGAATAAAAGATACGAATAAAAGCATATAGATAAAAATCAATGGAATCTTTCTGGCATATTATTGTTTCTTATTATTTTTCTCTCACACAAAAATTGACAGGGTTATGAATGTTAAGACTGCGCGCGCGGCCGCGCAAATAGGAAAAAAAAGTTTTTATAAAATCGTGAGTTTTCTGAAAATAGTTTGTACTAAAGTAGTGAATCTGCTAGAATCCATCAAGATATCTATAAGAAGTGAATTCTAGATGGAATGTGAATTACTTCAATTCTGGTGGAAATGGCGCTCATTAAACCAAAAAATTAAAAGAAAAAAACATCGTATATGCTTCTTATTTGCATGATAGCTCATTCATTTTACACGCAAAAACTTGCAACAGCACTCATTTTAAAGCTTATGTTGAGCACTATAAAACCCAATTTCACCCGAAATGGATAAAATGCAAAACCTCGACACTAGATGGCTTTAAATACAACAATTTATCTTGAACGAAATAAAAACGACTTTGCTCTTTCAATCTTGCTTAATATTTTACCTAGAACACTTTATGTAATACCGATTTATTAAGATTTTTATTGACATTATTTTATTCTTTACATGATTTTCGTTAAAATGTATATTTTAGGAGATATTTGCAAAAAAACGAAGAGAAACGCCAAAAATATATGAATCTTTAGTGGCCAGTAACTTGAAAAGTATTAGTTTTCTTAAAAAACTATAAAAGACATTTTTTTCTTATAAATAGTTCTTCTATCGATTTCCGACGTTATTTTGAAAAAATGTAATTAAACAATTCAGAAGGGGCGTCATTTCCCCGGGGGGTGATGGCGCAACCCGAATTGTTTTCACTTTTGAACTTGAGGGTAAGATGAACCTAATTCCAAAATTTCATTCAATTCGGAGCACAGTAAAAAAATTCAGACCTAAAACGCTCCGTTTACTGCACTATAATGGTTCTTTATAGTTTTTATTTATATCAGTGTAATATTTTTAAGGAAATCAAAATTATTTTTTCAGTCGAAACTGCTGGTTGAGTCTTATGTATAGGGGATAAGATTTATTCTAACTTTGCCAATGAGGGGTAGTTAATAAAGGTAATTGAATATAATAACCGTAATTATCATCAAGCTTTTATGCCTTTTTTTTGTAATTACCGTTATTACCCTCTAATGACTTAGTTATAAAAGCTAATTTGCTCAACAGCGAGTTGATACAAAGAAAATTGAATGTTTGTATCAAATGATTAGCTTATTTGGTTTGTATCTACATACATATTTAACATTCCGTAGGGTAAGTTATAGTAATCGCGAAAAAATCGAAAATGAAAATTTTTATACATTTTTACGTTTCTGAATAAGGTTTCTCAATATTTTGGCATACCTTAGAAAAAATGGATATATGTGTGTGTGTATGCGGATACAAATTTTCGTCGCCGATTTCAGGAACACGGATCAACCGATTTGAATAATTCAAATAACATTTTTATTGATAAGGAGATGTGCTATCTAGTTTTTGACGAAGGCAGGTCTAGCCGTTTCGAAGATACGAAGCAAAAAGTGCCATAAACGGTAACTCAGTTTTAAGAGAACGGAGCGTCCAATTTTAATAATTCAAAAAACATTTTACTTCTATTGAAAAGATGAAGAACTGATTGAATTTTTAGGAAAGCAGGTCCAGAGGTTATGGACTCACAATAAAAATAAGTTAAAAAAAATGGCGGTTAAAAATGTTTATTGGGCATATGTACATCAAATTATCAGATATTTTATAGAGATTTTAATAATGTTTACACATTTTGTGTAAATTTTTTTGGGTTCCGTACAAAAATTTTTGATTACGGTACTGGAAGTTTCAGCAATTTGCCTTAAGGCACGATGTCATGCACTCCACTAGTTAAATATCTCAATTTGTATAACAAAATATATAAGTTTTACAGTTCCCAAATGTGTAATATATGCAATTTAAACGCAATCGTTTGTCTTATTTTACAGCAATGTCGTATAATTTCATTTGCATTATTATGTAGGATATGCACTGGTTTATGTGCTTCTATTTTGCGCAAATTAAACCGAAATTACTGAAGGCTATTAACTGTCATGCATTACGGAAAAATATAAAATAATAATGAGTCCATAAAGGTTTGCGTCTTTCCGTTTAATAGGTCTATTTAAGACATCGTAAACCAGAATTGAAGTTCGTTAATTTGGAAGAAGCGTTGTTTTGCTTGCTATTGGCCATAAAATTGCAGATAACTATTTTCAGGATTTTCAAACAGAATAGAGCACTTCAACTTTATGTCACAACATATAATTTGATTCTTCAGCGAAATTTAGAAAGATAATGAGATTTGATTTTTGAATAACATTGAGGAATACCTAAAACTTTTACAATTTTGGAGAAGTAAGTATAGGTGTAAAATTCCTATTATTAGACCAAGCATTTTTATTACCAAAGTAGAATATAAAATAGAGGTCTTCAGGTTTTATGACATGAAACATATAATTTGATTCTTCCAAAAAATAGTGTTTGCTGGAAGAGAATAAGATGTGATTTTTAATCAACAATTACAATTATAGCATTAATTGCTATTGGGGAGCACCTAATATTTTTCAAATTTTAAAAGATCCAACTATACATGAAATTCTCTTCAACAGACTGAGCATATTCTTATTGCCAAACTAAGAAGTTTAATGTTTTGTTATATTTTTAAAATTAAAATATTATTAATTTATTTTCTCTTTATTAACTTCCCGAAGGAGAAGTTTGATTTCATCAAAAAATCCGATTCGCTAATTTTATGTTTTCTCGACGTTTTAAGCCATTCTGAATCGAATGAGACAAAATTTGAAAAAAAGTATGTGTGTGTATGTATGTGCACAGATTTTTGCCGCAAATCGACGATTTTTCAAAAACGGCTTCATCTATTTCAAAAATTTAGAAGCCATTTTTGGTGATAGATATCATGGTCTTCTAGATCGTACTAAAATATTACGGCCCTACGACAAGTCGTTTAATTTTGAAAATTTGTCAAAGTTTGCAAAAATTAGTATTGTTTTTATGACGTTTGACAAAATTAGAATTCTCATCGACGTTTTCTCAAAAACGGCTAGACCAATTTCAAAAATTTAAAAGTCAATCGATGTATTTTGATGTAGATTATGTTTTCTCAGTTTTGTGCGACGATCTGCCGAGCCGTTTCTTTGTAATTTGGAAAAAAGTGTTAAACTTTTTCGTCTACATTTAAGCTCATACTATCGAATCGATTTTGATAAATCAAAAACTGTTCGAAAGATATTAGTTGGGAATGATACTGATTAGTTTTAGGTGAAAATCTACCGAGCCGTTTTCTTGTAATTAACTGTTGAAAAAAAATTTAAGCCGATTTTTATGGATCTTCTTTTGGCGATATATATATCATGGTCTTATAGAACTCATCACTCATAAATAAATTCATATTTTATTGATTAAGTCGATTATTTACACATATCGGGAAGTTCATGTAACTTGCCTCAAGGCTAAATACCAATACCAACTAGTTACATTAGGTCTATAGGCAGTTTCTTGTGTAGTCTTCTTATAGGCCGATTATCTTAGATGGCAGATGAGCCATTGTTGCATCAAGATGATTGTAAATTTTAGCATGACGTCTAGTACTGGTGTTTTTGATGACATCCTCTACAAAACGATGTTGAGGTCTAACATCAATTGACGTTTATTTTCGTACTGAAGTATGTCGTTAACATGTTATATTTCTAATTTCAGGTGCGCGTTGTTAAATCCGACAATAATGGCCTAGGTGTCAGTATCAAAGGCGGTCGTGAAAATCGTATGCCGATATTGATAAGTAAAATATTTCGTGGTTTGGCGGCCGACGCAGCGGGTGGCTTGTACGTGGGCGATGCCATATTAAGTGTTAATGGAGAAGACCTGAGGGACGCCACTCATGATGAAGCTGTCAAAGCGTTGAAGAGAGCAGGAAGGGTTGTGAATTTAGAAGGTGAGTTTTGGAAATTTTCTATTAACCTTTAATAAACGAACGCATTACGTAAAACTATGCCCAGGTCGACGGATTTAAAAAATTAAGTGCTTCTTTTTCAAAGCTTGAGAAGTTGCATACCTAATATTGCTTTGTTGGGTTTGAACAGTTCGTCTAATATTGCTTGTTGACCAATGTTCAAATTCATTTTCTACCTGCATTGTTGTCATATTGAAATTAAAAAAGAAAAGCCCAAAATTCTTCTTGTATGTTACGATTACTGTAACTTACGATTATTGTAAAATATTTACAATGTCGCGAGTATGGCTACACTTGTATGGTTTAATTTTGGTTATACCCCATCAAGCACTTTACTCCAGTCATTATAGTAAGTTCACTCCGAAATTCGAGATACCCAGCTGTAAGTCTATAAATACTTGTATATCGACATTTAAAAGTTATCTCAAAACTTACATATGGTAGTTTGTACGCCATATGTAGGTTTTGTGACAACTTTTAAATGTCAATATTTAAGTATTTACAGACTTACAGCTGGGTATTTCGAATTCCGAGATTTTTACCTAATTTAAGCTTAAATGACTGGACTACTTGAGAATTGATAGATCTTGATCTTACTAAAAATCAAATGTCACTGGTAGTACCTATTACCTCAGATTATTTAAATAGGCGTCTTATTGTCGCGATGAGCAAGTAAGCAGAACAAATTTGCTTAAAATGATGCAAAACTCGGTAATATCTTTTGTTTCCACTTGTGTAATAAGTGTTTTATTATTTATAACGTATTAAAAAAAAAATTTGAAGATGAATTTTTAAATTTTCAAGTATTTTATCCCAAATCTCTTTTTTGTCGCCATGTGTAAGTGAGGCAGAACAAGGCTGCTTAAAATAATGCAAAATTCGGTATTGTCTTTTGTTTCCACTTTTTCTTGGACTAATGTTCAAGTAGAACTATAGCAATGTAATAAGTGTTATATTATTCAAATAACGTATTACAAAAATACCAGTTGATTCCAGATGAATTTATAAATTTGCAAGTATTTTATCCCAAATTTCTTTTTTTGTTCGTATAAAAATTTCTTGCTAATTCTTCTGAACAGTAATATGTATCGCCGCAGGCCAGCGAATAGAAGTAACAGGTCGACTTTGAGAAAAAAACAACTGTTTTTATAAGAATTGCGTGTTTTTAATGGCATAAAATCGTTCGGAATTAAGTGATTTTATCCATGTATTCTATTAATAGAAGAGCAAATCATTGGTCAGCAAAATAAAAAAAGTATGTGCGACATATGTTTTCTAATGTAGTTTTTACTGCTGAACACGAATCTAAAGTCAAAATTGGGGGTCAAATAGCAAATAATGGAAGAAATTTAAAAAAAAAAACATTATCTCCGATTTGGTAATTCTTCTACATAATAATCAAAATCTTATAATTTTTGTCGTTTCCTGACCCTTTTTTACTTTAAATAACTACTGAGTTTCAATTAAATGATCTCTTCAGTTTTTTTTGTATAAATCAGTAGTAATTTTATCTACATTGCTTCTGGGTAATCAGCAATGAACTTTGATTAAAATAATAAATGAGTAATATAATAATATTCTTAGTGAATTAAATATAATAAATATATTTATTAGGCTATTTTCTGGACTATCTTCCTGTGCCAAATAACTAGTTCGTTGAAAACTTGTCATTCATCTTTGATAATACTTTCTGTCTTTAATAAATAATATTATATAAAATACTGGATAGAATAACTTATTATCAAATAGTAAAAATCATATAATATAAAATCAAATTAAATTTATTTAATACACATTTTTTCACTATTATTTCCTGAATTTCTTAGTTTTGCCAGAAACAATTAACCAGAAGGTTTAATACTTTTTGTTTTTCAACACTAAATTATTTTGAAATCGTGTACAGCAACTGAAACATGTTACTAAATTTTTGGCATTTATTAATTTATTAATTAAATATGAAGTCATAAAATATATTAGGTTATTGTTTATATCCGTATTTTAAGCTATTTATGAGCGCGTTTATAATATTTGATAATAAAGATTGTTATGATCTCGTTAAAACTAAACTTCATTGAACTTAATTTAATGAAATTAAATTGGTAATCATTATTGAACAAAGGGCTTGTTGTAGTCATTAATGTAAATTTAAGGTTAATGGAAGATATAGCGTATATATTATTTTCCTCGATTATATTCAATGAATTTTAATCAATCTGAATTTAAAAGTATCATTGTTTACAATAATATATTGTTGTTGCATAAAGTTTAATACTAGTAGATAATCCATAGTATGTTATCATACGATAACATTTGTTATTGCCAACTAATTCATAATAGCTATAACAATATTCTTGCATATGAATTTCAATTTTCAAATTTCAAAATTCAAATCCTATTGATTTTTATTCACAATGTAAAATATTTTTATAGTTCAATTTCAAATATTGCAATACAGGATTATCTTTGCGCTTGGGGATTGAACTAATAACAATTCCTCATAATCGAATCTGCTGCAGTGATAAAATAACGATATTATAAGCTTATACAGCTTAGAAAATCTATAAAATAAGCTTATATACAGTTTAGTTTAGACCATGCTTATGTTATGATCATCTTATATGGTGCATGAAATGCGCATCCCTTCTAAGATGAAATATATAAAATATAATACCTTAAATTTTTGTATTATACATTCCTTCTTTAATATCCACGCATAAAAAAATTATTTACATTATTATCTATCTATTATTATCTATTAAATTTTTGTTACATATAAAGTATAATTATTTCAATAATCCGCATAATTTTTCTATTTATTGAAAATACAAGAATAGTTTTTTTAGATTGTACCATATTATTTCAAATTTGAATGATTTATTTCATAATGGAAGAATTATTATTATTAATATACTTTGAAATATTACGTAGAATATTTACTAGATTTTTTTTAGGACCCAAAGAAACCAAATAGTTTCTTAAAATCTATTATATAAAAATAAGTCGGGTTTTTCTTCTTGACGATATAACTCCAGAACGCACGAACCGATTTCAACGATTTTGCATTCGTTGGAAAGGTCTCGGACTCCGTGAGATTTATAGCAAATTGAAGAAAAATTTCAACAGAAAAGGAAAACACTTTTTCTTTTTTCACATACAGCGTCATCTCTGATACTTAGCATGTACTACAACTAATATTTTTTGTTTAACTGCTACTCATTTGTTTGACAGCTACTCATTGTTCTCTGCTCAGTTAATTTCATGTGACAAACCGGCATTGTGTTCACTGTGAAATTGTGCAAAAAAAAGTAAAAAAAATAAGTTATTCGTTTCCTAACATTTCAATTGGAAACCATCAAATCAATCACTTGTATTGTGTAAATTTTTATTCAATTTCAACAGCAGGCTTTTTTTTTCTTCATCACCAAACGAAAAGTTACATAAAATAAAATCACCAAACGAAATGTTACATAAAATGAAACCATCTGGTGGTGAAACGGAGTTCGCCCGGTTTGCTAGTTGTATCATATTTTTTTATCTGCTTCTCTACATTTTTCTTTTAATGGAGTTATGTTGTTATAGTTAATAAATTTAGATAAACGTGAAATATTTTGCTTGTAAGTGGTGTATTGCAATTGATTGGTTATAGACAATTGCAATATAGATTTATAAAGTTGAAATGTAAAATCTAAATCTCAATCTGAATTGAAAATTTAAAAAAAAAATCTATGATCGATCAATATTTCATAAAATTTTAACAAAAACGTATAGTAAATTAAGAAAATATAGAAAAGCGATCTTTCCTAATTTAGCAAAGAAAAAACTAAGACTACTGAAAAACAACTGAAAGCTTATTCGAGCATTTTCTTCTAACAGGAAATCTAAATAGGTCATAGGACTTATCTTTAGAAGATCAAATCGAAACATATTAATTTTTAACTTCCCATAGGGTAAGTTATAGTAATCGCAAAAAATCGAAAATGAAATTTTTTATATATCTTTACGTTTCAGAGGCTTCTGAACATTTTCCAATACCTTAGAAAAAAATGGATGTATGTGTGTGTGTGTGCGGATACAAATTTTCGTCGACGATTTCGGGAACACAGTTTAACCGATTTCAATTATTCAAAAAACACTCGATTGCTGTTGATAAGGAGACGCGCTGATTAGATTTTGGCATAGACAGGTCTAGCCGTTTCGAAGATACGGGGAAAAAAGTGCCACAAACGGTAACACAGTTTTTAAGAGAACGGAGTGTCCGATTGTAATAATTCAACTTGTACTTGTATTGAAAAGATAAAGAACTGATTAAATTTTCATGAAGGCAGGTCTAGCGGTTTCGGAGATCTAGTGAAAAAAGTAAAAAAAAATGCCATTTGGCGGTCAAAAATGATCATTAGACATAAGCACATAAAATTATCAGATATTTTATAGAGATTTTAACAATAAATATAAATTTTGTTTACATTCCTATGGGTTCCGTATCAATGTTTATCCGTTAGACGGCGACGCGGTATTTCGTCTCTATGCAGTTAAAGCAGTTCGTTTGCTTTGAAAAAAAGTTCAGAACTTCCAAAATATTTCAAAATAAATGAAACATTTCTTTCAAAAAGGCTTTGTTTCAAAAAAAATATTTTTTTTCAAAAATTTATAGTTTCTAAAAAACCTAATTTTTTCAAAGTAAATTTTTTCAAAAATGTTAATCTTTTAAAAAAAAAATAATTTTTGGTACGGGAAGTTTCAGCAATTTGCTTTAAGGCACGATGCCATGCGCTCCACTAGCTTTTTAATATATGAAACTAGATATCAGATCCTAAAAATCTACATCAAATAAATTTAAATTTACTAAACAAACTATCTCTGTATACTATCCTTGAACGTTTGAAGCCAATACAGATTTAAAAGCTATCAGAATCAATTGCCTTCCGTTTGAATCTATCGCTTGCGGCCAATATTCTACACATAGTACACTTGTTCAAATAACCGTTTTTAAATACTCACTTTTCAATGAGAAACAGTGCGTGAAAAAAATCGACTGAACT